GTGCCCAAGATCCCGAGAGGAGAATGGAGGAGAAGGGATTGCAGCGTGACCATCCCCCCTAGGGGGTGATTTCTCCCTTTCTGTCTCTCTGTCTGTCTGTCAGGCGAGCGCATGCATCCTATAGAAAAAACCTCTCCAAAAAAAAAAAAAAAAAAAGGAATTCTGCACTGAAAGACTGAACAAGATGATTTTTATGGGTCCCTCACAATTTGTAAATTTCCAGTTATTTCCAAGTTATCAGAATTATATTAATCTGGATCAACACTTGTTGGATCCCCTAATTCCAGACAGGCTACTTCACGATATATCAGTCCACTCCATTCAAACTTTACTTTCTGAAACTTCTTCCCTGATTTTTCTATTTTTTCCTTTGCATTTGTTAACTTGTTCCCAATTTCATAACATGTCTTTGTCATTTCCAGTATATATAGAAAAAGAGAAGGAAAGACTTGTGAAAAAATGTTTTAAATTTTAAAATCTACCACAATATGAGACGGTAACTAATATCTTCTAGGGAGGTTGATAACATAATCCATTCCCATATCTATACAACATGTAAACTGAGCATCTAAGTATCTTCAGTCAATAATAATACTCATTTATTAATTCTAATGTGCACAAAGTACATATCCTTGAACCTTAGGCTGTTCAATAAATTGGGACATCCACCTCATCATTCAGGAAGAAAGGAAAAAATACAAACAATAGCGTTATTAAGTGATTAATTAGCATCAAATTTTCAACCCAGGCATAAGGAGTTCCAGGGTCCTCAGTTTGCCAACGGGTAGAACTTAAAGCAATCACCAAGTTAATCAAAACCAAGAAAATCCACTTACATTTCATACAAAAGTCATCTGTACAAATAGAATAAGATTTTGAGAAAGTTGTTACAGACTTAACATTCTGGACTTGAAACTTCTGTAGCTACTTGAAAAAAAAAAAAAAAAGAAGAAGAAGAAAAGAAAACCCCATATAAGACAAAGTCATCTAAAGCCATACAATGAGCCCCAGAGAATTTTCAAAAACGAACGAGGAAGGTAAATATCGTTCAGACCTAAGAGGAAAAGAAAAAAAGAACACTGGCTCCTCATCTACTCAACCACCGAATCTTCAATATTTCCTTAGGCATCGTTTGTGTGTAGATGAGTAACTGTCGATTCCATTTTTCATGTCGCTATATAGACTGTCCACTGGCTATCTCAGTGCTCAGTTCATCCTCTTACCACAGGGTGGGGGAGAGGAGAGCTAAAAATTACAGTATTTTAGTTTTAGTTTACTAGTTCTACTTGACTCACGCAGAAAAAAAAAAAAAGACATATTTAAACCACACTATTTTACTCATCTAACTGCTCGAACAAACTATAAATGAGCCTTCAGAATCATAAACGAGCTACTGGCCCTAGAAAGGGGATCGGGAGACTGAGATCGAAAAGGCTGACAGGTTTCAAGACTTTCCATATGGGATAAAGCATAAGGTTCGATCCCAACTTCCTAGTCTCATTTCCGACCGGACCGAGAAGCTTACACGTGGGGTAGCCGGCCGCTGCTGTCACCTCCTGTCGCCAGTTGGCGAGTGGGACCCAAGCCAAAGAGGGACCGTCAAAGAGGGGCTGGGGGCCCAGGCTGCCAAAGCCCTCGGCGAGGTTGTCTGGGAGGCCACGCTGCCTGGCCCCGGCCCACATGGCCAGCGAGCGGAGGAGAGCACCTCCAGGCCCTACGCTCGCGCATGGACCCATGGCCCGCAGGCCCAGGCGGCGCCCCTGGGCCCCGCGTCTGCCGCCAGCCCGCCCCCCGGCTGGCAACCCCATCCGCGACAAGGCCAGCCCGCTCCTGCGCTGTCCGGCGCCTCGGCCCGCACCCACCTTGACGTCCTCGTCCTCGTCCTCGCCTTCCCAGCGGTCCCCGCCGGCGGTGCCGCCGCCCCCCACCTTCCGCACCGGGTCTTCCACGGAGAACGTGTCCGCGTCTACGGAAGAGAGCTAGCCGCGTTAGTGCCTGCCTCGGTGAGGGGCCGGCGCCGGCCCAGGCCCTGCCCCCGGAACTTCTCCTCACCCCAGGAGTGGGA